CACTATAGTTGTATTCGTATTGGGATTGTGAAACACTATGGTTGTATTCATATGTGATTGTGAAACACTATGGTTGTATACATATGGGGATTGTGAAACACTATGGTTGTATTCATCTGGAGATTGTAAACCACTACGGTTGTATATTCACTATGAAACTATAGTGAAACACTATGGCTGTATTCATATGGAGATTGTGAACTGCAATTGTACATATACCATCAATTTGTTTGTAAATTTACCACACTTAGCAACTTGACCAAGGTGCTCGATCCAGAGTCAAATATTGAAAACAGCAGCTTTTTGTCTTACAGACTGGTAATCTTGGCAATTCCTATCAATTAGTCAGTGTTGTGAGTCATTTTGGCAGCACATCAAGTATGGGTCATTATATAAGTGATGTCTTTGATACCAAAAAGCATACCTGGATGAGTTATGACGACACTGAAGTTGAAAGCATAGACCAATCCACTGTCCACTCACGCAGCAGACAGAAATCTGGATATATATTCTTCTATCAGAGCAAGTAAGTGCAAAAGTATGCGTAGATGGTTTTTTTAACTCAAAAAATGACATAACAAATTGAAATTGACTTTCGTAGCCATTTTTGAATGCAATATGAGAAAAATGCACGCTGTTGAAGTTTATATTTAATCAGTTCTGAAAGATGTCATTAAAAGTCCCTGAAAATGAATAATCAGAAATAAAATATCCATTACTGTTACATAGAAACATTTCAGGAACTTGCTGACCCAAATGTATTAGTTGTGACTATCTTACAGTCCTGCAAAAGAGTAACAGTAATACTAGGTCGTGTGTGAAGTTTTCATGTATTTATATATTGTTTATTATTCTCTTCTCTTCCAGGGATATATCCAGAGTTTGAATAATGAAGTATAAACTATAAAAAAAAAAAAAAAACATTTTTTGACAATTACCAGTGTGTGAGAAATATGTTAACAATGAATATGAATAAAAAATTCATATTTTGTTTAAGTTATCTCTTATTTATCAATTATTTTTTGGTATTGTTTTCTTTCACATATAGACACACATTATCAAACTATGTAAAAATACCAAACCAAGCTGTATTAGATTTATTTAGATTTCCCAGATTGTTGGTGTTTTTTGCACGAGATGTTCATGTACTATAAACAATGTATAATAAATAGAAATTTATTGAGAAAATCAGATAAGGTGGACTATTAGTGTTACAATGTACTCAGGCAGGGAGTGTTTCAATCCCCCCTCTCTTTGATTTCTCAACCTGGTTGCCAACTGTTTCAGTCAAATCCATACCATCCTTGACTTCCAAAACCTGAATTACAAGTGTACGGTATCATTCAATCCACACAACCCTTGTCTCTGATGTCACAAACAGTGTTTCAGTCATTGTAGTTTTCCTCGTTCAGTTTTACAACACTGCCAGTGAGTGTTCCCATTCCACCTCCCTTCATTGAGTTTTACAATGTGGCCAAAGAGTGTTCCCATTCCCCCCTCTTTTCATTCAGTTTCACAACATGGTAGTGAGTGCTCCCCTTCCCTCTCCCTTCATTCAGTTTCACAACATGGTCAGTTGGTGCTCCAATTCCCCCTCCCTTCCCTTCCTTGACTTTTACAACACGGTCAGTTAGTGCTCCCATTCCCCCTCCCTTCATTCCGTTTCACATCATGGCCAGTGAGTGTTCCCATCCCTCCTCCCTTCATTCAGTTTCACAACACTGTCAATTAGTGCTCCCATTCCCCCTTCCCTTCCTTGACTTTCACAACACGGTTAGTTAGTGCTCCCATTCCCCCTTGAGTGTTTCCATTCCCCTCCCTTCATTGATTTTAACAGCATGGCCAGTGAGTGTTCCCATTCCCCCTTCCCTTCCTTGACTTTCACAACACTGTCAGTGAGTGTTTCCATTCTCTTTCCCTTCATGAACTTTCGTAACACGGTCAGTGAGTGTTCCCATTCCCCCTCCCTTCATTCAGTTTCACAACACTGTCAGTGAGTGTTCCCATTCCCCCTTCCCTTCCTTGACTTTCACAACACAGTCAGTGAGTGTTTCCCTTCCTTCATCGAGTTTTACAACACTGTCAGTGAGTGTTTCCATTCTCTTTCCCTTCATGAACTTTCGTAACACGGTCAGTGAGTGCTCCCATTCCCCTTCCCTTCATTGACGTACACAACACGACCAGTGGTTGTTCCCTTTCCCCCTTCCTTCATTCAGTTTCACATCATGGCCAGTTAGTGTTTCCATTCCCCTTCCATTCGGTTTCACAACACGACCAGTGGTTGTTCCCATTCCTTCTCCCAT